ACCATTCGCGGCAACCGCCACCTGCCAAAGAGAACCGCTTCTCTCTCCTCTGCCACCACCAAGGCTTGCTGCCAGGTGTAATTGCTTGCGCTACTCCCTTAACTATTATGATGATGGTTGTGGCGATAACAAAAGCTTGCGAGCACCACGCCACCTATCGCTCAGTAGTTGTGACCCCTAAGTGCAGCCTATGTGTGAGACACGTGTGCCACGCAGCGCAGACAACTTTACAAAGAGTGTCAATACCCTCACATCCCCTCAATCTTAATTCAAACCATTTCTCAAAAAAAAAAAAAAAAATTAGCTACACAAACTTTAACAGAAGATGACAACAAATATCGCTAAATAATGTCTGTGCAACACGACACGGCCGCCGGTCGACACTGCTGCACTGTCTGGCTCGACGACTTCACCCAAGCGCTGGTCTCGCAACATCAACGTTGCCGTCGGCGCGAGGAACCGTCGCTCGCGTCAACACATCTTCTGGTTGCGACCAGCACTCACGAGGGTGCAGGGCTGCAGGCAGTTGCGCAGGTCCCAGGCATGTCTATCACTTAACCTCACGACCGCATTCCTGGCCAGCGGCGCTGACGATGTGCAGAAGACAGCCAGCTGCAGGTTACGTCACTCCCGCTACGTACATTCAAAACACTCAACAGAGCAATGCAGTAGGGCAAAAGGAAGGAACCTTTGGGCTCCTCGCCCACGTGGAAAGGTGGTCAGTACTGCAAGCTAATACATCGGCGGTGGCCAAGATGCCGAGCTAACATAAAAACAAAGGTAGTTTTTCTAACTCGTGCATCGCAAGATAAAAAAAAAAGTGAGGGAAGCAGGGTGCAACACCTCAACGCCATGATCCACCTAGTTGTGCCACGTGCTACAGGCGGCTGCACAGAGCCTTAGGCCTAATGAGTCGCTTGACAACAACCGGCATCCACCCAGCACCTGGCCTAGGCGCAGAAGAAGCAGCCGCAAGGAGACGTCTACTCTGTAAGGTGGCCCTACTTGCTCGCCGCACACAGCAGCTTACTAAGCGATTGGTGCCCACGGTCCCGGACGGTGTCAAGACGCCCCGGCGTTGAGCCACAAGACAAGACAACAACGACGTCCGGCTCCCTGAGCCCTAAAGATCTTGATAAAAGAAGCTATTTACAGAAAATCAGACCACCCTCGAGGCTTTCGTATTCACTAGCTTCGGGCTTGGCCTAGAATCCACATGCTATAAGCGTTGCTCACCCCAGGATGCAGACTGCATGGCTCTTGTACCAACTTAACAGCATTCTTGAGAGCCAACAACAAATCATCGCTGGTGCTACCGCTTTAACCATTATTATGATGGTGGTGGTGATAACAAACACTCGTGAGCACCACGCCACCGATTTCTCGGCAGTTGTGACACCTAAGTGCGGTCTATGTGCGAGACACGTGCACCACACAGCACAAGCAACTTTACAGGGTGTCAGCACCCCCACAGTATTTATGAGGTTTTACTGTAACAAGCTTTGAATGTGTGTATGGGGGGCGGGGACATAGGCGTGCTTGAGGTTCCTTTTCAAGGGGGGGGGGGGAGGAAGCAAAAGTTCATCATAGCGCACCCGTCCAAATTATGTCAATGTATGGGAATGAAATTTGCATCTCCCTTTCACCCCCTCTTTATTATGTCAATGTATGAGGCTAGCTTTACGCCCCCTTTCACGCCTCCCACCTCTGTCTCCCTGTGCCATATCTGCCATGTCTCTGGATTGTCTGGGGACTCCCGAATTTTGATCGTTTTTTGGTTTATACGGTTATCATGAAAATCTTCCCGAAATCGAAATTTTTGTGCTTGATCTGGCCGCATTGACAGAAAACCAGGTCAGTCCACTCCAGGCTTTTTGCGAACCCACCACATTTTATTATAAATGAGTTTAGGAGGCGTTCATCTAAAAGTACAGTAGTCTTAGTGATGCGAAACTGGAGCAAATGCGAATTCATGAAAATTGCCTAGCCAAATTCCACTGCGTTCATTGGGCCAAAATTCGAATGTTCCAAACATTTTTCTAATTGTGGCGTGTGATATGAACTTTAGTACCGAAACTGTCGAACAAAGGTCGATGGAGAGCGCGTGCTCGAAGCTTCAGAAATACTCGTGCGACCACCACATGCACTGTTTTCTACAGTTTGTGTGGTTGCCACAACTGCTGTGGACGAAACCTAGGTCATTCTTGACACAATCATGTATGGTGACGACGTTACTGACAGTACTCTGAAAGTATGCGCGCGTCCAATCCTAGACCAGTCAAAGCAACACTGCTTTCTGCGAACTTTGTGGACAAGACCACAGCAGATGCCTTCATAGCATAAAACAACTTAGTTTTGAAGGCATATGCACAGCCAACACACGTGGATTGAAAACGGAACTAGAGTTTGCCACAACCACCATGCACAAAACTGCTATCGCGGTGATACGATAGCGATCTACAAGCTCCGAGGGCACGTGGCTAACGCAGCGGTAGATTAAAGGCACTAAAGACGTAAAAAAAAGGCTAGAAGCGTTTTGGTGTTCCTGTCCAAAGAATCTAATAGCGAGCAGAGCCAAAGCTTTGCTCGCTATTAGATTCTTTAATTTTGCTATTAATTCACCGCATTGAATGCAATGCAGTGAATTCGATAGCAACAAATTGTAATCTTATACGAGGTAAGGCTGGCAGACAACTCTTTTGGATCTGGTACTGCGGAACTCCTATAAAACGCTGGTTTAAGCAAATATGGTCGCTCCAGGGAGAAGTGATCTTTTAACACAGTCTAAGAGGGAAGTGTTCTTTTCACACAGTGTCTGCGCGTTGAATGTGCACTGATGCTTGCCGAAATAGAGTGCGTGCCAGTGATCGTGACTGGGCCCATGAAATCAAAATTCACTGTTGCTACTCGAGCGAGCCCCCGTCCTTGCATTTCTTCATGGCAGTTCAAGATGGGTGGTTGCCTTTCTGTTTGAGCATTTGATGGCAGTTCTAACATACGTGGGGGGGGGGGTTATCGTATGTGCACTCCAGGCGATAGAGATGGGCCGGCTCATTTGATCTCGGCTCCAGCAGCACTCTCATGCTTTTACCCACTCGTAAATGTTATGGTGCACGGCGGCATATTATTGATTTGGACTTGTTAAGGAACATGGTGGCAATAGCGAAAACCCCCTGAGAGTGTCCATATAATTGCCATTGCAATGACAACACATTTTTTTAGCGCTAAGTTAGTGTTTAGGGTTAGCTCTGCTTTCAGTCCCCCTTTTAACGCTTTAGAGAGCTCGTGTTGCTGAACTTCCGCCGTCGGCGTCAGCACCGCTGATTGTGAGCGAAAAATCATCCGTGAGCAAAAACTCAAGAAAAAAAGCAAATAAAATAAAGAATAAAATTTTTGTTTCCATTGAGGATCGAACCCAGGCCGATCGGGTAGTAAGCAGGTGGCCACAAAGCCACGATGTTTCTTGCAGCTGCTTCGTGAGAAAATGCTTTATAAATGCTATGTAGTGGAAGGAGTCTCTTTAATGCATTTTGTTCGACAGGTGTCACAACGAAAATGAGCCCATTAGGCGATTTGTAGGTGCGTTTGGGAGGCCATCAAACTAAGTTGAAAAATGCCGGGATAGTGCAACCATCGTCGCTAAAAACATACAGGAACTTTCAAACAGCTCTAGAAATGGACAACTATGTCCATTTAACGGAAAACATATCATGCCTTTCCACAGGCGTTCATCAAGCAAACAGCAAACGCTAAATAATGTGCTGCCATCTGTGAGGCATCGTGAGTTTATGGCTTTCAAGATGGCGAGCACGCGGCGTGTATCTTGGAGGCTATGCGAATCTTTCTTTAGGTCAAAAACCTGCATGTACCATTCGCCGCGCGCACTGGTACAATCTACTGTGCGAGTGTGTGCACGCATATGTAGGTGTATAACAAAACATATTAATAAGTATGCACTTAGCGTACTAGGGCCCACCAGGAGCCTGATTTCCCTATAGCGTTGTTCAATTCTTAAAGGCAAAGCTTAAGGGTCCATCAATTCTTGTTTTATTTGTGGGTTTATTTTTTTATTTCTTTAGTGAATGTGCACATAAAAAGATCCTCTTTATAACAAATTTTTCCAGGATTTTGCCAACTTCGTTATATCCAGGTTTAACTGTATTTTTTTGTACTTGGTAAACTTTGAGCTACGACCCAATTTTCGGACCACAACCAGCATTTGCTTCTGCACCGCTGGTTGTGATCCTGCAGTTGCTGGGTGGATTCTTGGTACCGATGTAACTGAAAAACAGTGTTTTCAATTATATCATTCCCAGGAATCCACCAGTGACTGCATCATTGTCACATGGTTGCGACGGGGATTATAGCTGCAGCAAGATTTCGATAGCTCTTTCTTTGGGTGAACTTGTGCCCGGGAAATGAAAGTTTGAAGTACCAGAGCTTTACTCTCTACACTGATAGTGGCGAGAACAGTCACTGGCCGTCAAGTAATGTGATGAGTAGTAAGGTGTGCCAGCCTTTTATACCCGTGGCATCAAATAATCAAGTGTTATCGTTTGTTAGATTCAGAATTAACTATTGCTTGCATCTGGCACTATCTGATCACAAGATTCTGAACTGATGTGAAAGGTTCCCCGACACTTGGGCACATTTTACGCAAGGCAGTAGTAATATGCGTAATGGACCGGTTGCATAAAAATATAAAAAGAAATGTCACACCCACTTGTTTAGCAGGTGTGACAGGAGTACTAGATACATTTTTAGTTTTAGTGCAACCACTTTTTCAGCATTGAACTAGAAGGCAATGGTCTGTCCAGCAACTTCCCCCCTACCTACACCAATGATACGAGAGCTTCTCTGCTCTTTTCGTGCAGTGTAAATGTGAATATGTACAGTTAGGGCAAAAGTAGGCCTCGAGGTAGTGCTTCCACTCAAAGCTTTGCCGCACTCTATTTGAGAGTGCTGTTGGTGTTATAACCATTGTCTCATTGTTTCTGCAGGTATCCTGCTGACAAGTACCCGGTGTTGGCATTTGTGGGGGCTCCGGCCACCTTCCCTGTACAGCAGGAGAACCTGGCTCTACAGTCGTACCTTGTCTGGAGTGACACAGTCCTCAACAAGGCGCGCCACTTCATCCGCACTAGCCTGCGTGTGCCTTTTGTTGGCATTCACCTACGCAACGGCATTGACTGGGTCAGTCTCTCCTAGCCATATTTTGGGAAACATTTTGTTGAATGCATCATCAGTGGGCTGGTTGATTTGTCTGCCGTGGTAATTTGGGCAAGGGCCTAGTGTTTTACGCTAAGTGTGCACTCAGCAGCACATGCTGGTGGTCGCTACTGAGCTGTCATGCATCGTTTATGCGGAAAATCATTCTATATGGTGTGCTTAAAGGTCAACTCTGGCAGCGTTTTTCCCATGTCAACGTAATGATACTTCTACGTTCCTGAGACACTCCTGTCACGTGCCCATTAGTAGGAATCCTCAGCAAACTTGCACATCATTTTAAATAACCAAAGAAGCGCAACTCCGTAATTGACACCCTACTGTGCAGTACTGTCTTCATGTGACGCATAAGACGACAAAGACCGGATATTGTGCAAGGCATGCTGGCCCCGCCAGCGCAAGGTATGAAAGCTGCGAAAGCCAGACGCTCAGCTACGTGCACAAGTTCCTTGGAGCTGTCGGCACAATGACAGCTGCAATTCAGATGCACTTGGGTGCCACCTAGAAGCGCCGTTTCTTTCCGACAAACTATAACACCATTTATGTTCTACTCTAGTTGAGAACAAAACTGCCACTGGCATCACCTGACCAGGCCACTTTAGTTTGTGGCTGCCACAAAACTGCTAACACTAAGAAGTGTGCAGTCAAACTAAATCTTTTTAATACTGTTACGAGGAGAGTGTGTAGGTTTGTGGATAGTGGCATTTGACATCGCATTGTTAGGATCGGTGGAATTTAATATAAGCCAAGCACGAGTCTCCTGTCTCATGACGCCACAAATTTCAGAAAGTGTTTCGGTGCTGTGAAGTTTGGGCATGTGCACTCTTCAGATGTTGTAGTATTACCGTACTTTTCGTGTGCTGAACTGGCACTGCTAGCTAGAACACTCAACCCTTCGAAGGTCAAAGACGTATCTGTACGTCATCCGCTAACAGCCACAGGATGGTAAAAGATGTACATGTATGTCATTGCTTATATGTTTATAAGCCAAACCTTTTCTCGTTATTTTTTTTGCTTGGAATGTGCTGAAACATAGCGGGAATACATGTAAATTTTTTCTTTCATTGATGCCTTTCTGTTTTTTTTTTTTCTTACACTTTATTACAGCGGTGCACCAGCTAGTTTCGGTTTCGTCCTTTGATTGTTTCCCACTTATTGCACCCACAAAAGTGATGGCTCTCAAGCTCAGAAAAGTAACCGATTTGTTACTCTCTTGTTTATTGCTCCCCGGTCTGCAAGTACGCCTGTTTCCGTGACGGCGCGGACTGACACAAACGACACCTTTGTGGTTGCGTTTCCTGTTTTGCAGATTCACAGAAACCCCACCCGTCTCATTGGTGGTAAGGTTAATGATTATTATAACTTTTGGACTTGTTTTTGCTCCCCAGGTGCGCTTACAAGTGCAGTTCTCTTGCGCTATGGAAGTACATACTTGTTTTTCTTCCGCAAATGAGTCTAGTGGAAATTCTTTCAAATTTCTGCTTGGCTGCCAAATCAGAATCTGATATTACTAAATGTCAGCCCATCATATGAGGAGTTACTCATGAATTCAGACTAATGTTGATGAGCAAGCGACATTTCAAGAGCATGCATGGTGAGATGATACTGACTAGATTAAAAGTGACTTTTTTTCTTCCATGAATACACTTGACGACACTTCGTGCACATATTTTTGTATGTCTGTTAACTGCACAGAGACGTATGGCAACACATTATTTTTTAGAAGTAAGTCATATAGGTTTTTTGTTAGAATTTATCTTGCTGTTACTCATGAATAAACCATCAGTATGCAGTGGTGGACGAAAAGCGCCAGTTGCGCAATTTTGTTACAATTTTATATCCCTGCACTTAGGCGCGCACATTCTAGTACAGCTTGCGCCAACTGCATTCACTAGTCCACCTGTTTACAATGCATTGGACTATGACTTAAAAATATTCTTGGTCAAAACAAACAATACTAGAGCTTTTCTATGGTGGCACCAGTTCCCCTTGCTCAATTCATTCCAGGGATGCACTTTTTGTCATAGTGGACCTGACCAAACTCTCTGTGCCCCTGCGTGTGTCTCTCTTACTTGTTAGGGGACTGGTCATAACGCATAGAAAAGGGATTTTTTTCATTCGTGAGTCATTCTGTGTACTGTAATGTAGCCACCATGGCCAAACGGCAACAGCTGTCAGCACTGAATGCTGTAAATAGTGTTCTCACGCAAACGAAAACTTGTGCAGAAATTTGATATCTTGAGGAAAAAAAAGTAATGTCCTTAAGTTGCACTGCACTCCATTCCTTGGCATGCCTATCATAAAGGGAAGCCTAAATGCTCATGTAGAGTGCGCCTGGCACAATGTGGTGCAACTGCTGCTCGCGCAGGTCTAAGCGCTCATCACATGTGTTGATTGCAAAACCAATGTAGTGCGGGGGCAATCCAGCATATGTAGAAACTGAGCTTCATAGTTAACAAATAAGGAACAGGTGTTCTCACGCATCCTAAATGCTATTGGAACAGTGAATGTTGCCTTCAATTCACAAGAAAGCTCAAAGATGACACCCCAGCTTGCGAACGCGCTCATTAGTCCACTAACTCTGACTCACTAAGACTCGGATTGAGTCTAAGTATGAGCAAGTCCGGTTGAGTAATATTTTGGTGAGCTTAAATCCGAGTGAGTTTGGCTAAGCAATATTTTCATGACACTAAGTCCTAGTGAGTCCAAAGCACAAGATATATTTTGTTAGTGAGTATGAGTAAGTTTCGCTTTTTTTCGCTGACCTACTCAGTTTCAGCGTAACTATCAGCCTTACCCAGATTCATGTTTGTACTCACGTCTATGCACACATATTTCAAAGTAGTGTCTTTCACACACCATTTCAATATTTATTGATTAGAAGTGTGAATTACGTAGGAAAGGGCCTTGATGCCCCCCCCCAACAGCGATCACGAGGAAGTTATTGATAAACATATGTGCGCGCCCTTGTTGCGCGAAACAGAACTTGAAAGATGGCACCAAGCAACGACCACTGTGCGAGCTGAGGCGGCCGGAGCTGTAATGTGACACTAACTTGAGAGCGTTGTGGATCTGAATATCCAGGCAGCAGACGCAGCGAACGAAAAGTATTTTGTGCTGGCTAAAGTTAACGGGAACGAAGTAAGAGCGTACGCCGACCTTGGCAGTCAGTGTGTCACTATTCAGCGTGAGGATGCTGATCAGGTCGAGATCAAATGCACGGTGATGGAGAAGCTGCTGACCATCGGGGGCTATGGGTCAGGACGTGTGACGCCGTGTGGTGAGGCGAACGTTAACCTCACAGTCGACCAAGCAACAGCCGAAATCCTCGTGCTGATCGTGCCAAATGAATCGCAGGCGATTCCTATCATCGTGGGGCAGCCCTTCACCAAGCAACGTCAAATGACGGTCGTACGGCGATGAAACACCGTGCGTATTTTTGAAGAAAAGAAGAATCTGGACGAAAGTGACGACACACTCCAGTCCATCAATATTCCAGATCTTCCGAAGCGCCCGGCCTGGCTTTGGGCCAAAGAGTTGACAGTTGTTCCGCCAAACTACGTTGGATTTGTCAAGCCCTACTTTACGAGTAGCGAACCCGATGCCGATGTTTTCGTGGACGGCCAACCCAGGGGCCTAGAGGGGCAGGACCATTGCTTACCGTGTTGCGTCGAGAACGCAGATGCGGGAAACGAGACCTGCATTCCTGCCATGAACGTTTTGTACGAGGCACTGAATATACAAGCCATCGAGTGGGCTGTGCGGTCGGAAGTTTGCTATCTCAATGAAGGGCCGATGCAAGACGTGAAATCAAGCTGCAGTGCCACGCAACCATGTTGAACGGCGACCGCATATGTCAAAACGGGCCCAAGCGTCAGCCCGGAGCACCATGAAAAACTCAACCGACTCATCGAAGAGTATCGTGACTATTTTGCTGATGTCTTACAGATTGGCCACACCAATGCAGTGGAGAGGAAGATCAAAGTAACAACCGGAGAACGCAAAAGGTTTCGCCCATGTCATGTTTCCTTTGCGGATAGTGAGCATTCGCGAAGACCGAATGAAACAGCAGACAAGATACAGCAAGAAACGTTCGACGACTTACGAACCAGGGGATGTCGTATTGGTCAGGTGACAGCGTACAGATTGTGGCGAATCAGGGAGAAATGCAGAGGACCATATAGCATGGTCAAAACTAACCGATGGGCGATATCGCATCGAGAGGCTGTCAGTACATGGTGTGAGAGGAATGCATGCAGCAGCATCGCTCCACTGGACTGTATTAAGCTGTGTGGGCCAGGAAAAGATAGACTCTGATAGGTCGGACAGAAGATTTCGACCGGGATGGTCGGTAATTGCAGAACGGCCGAGTGTGGGCACCCTTGTTGCACAAAACGGAACTCGAAAGATGGCGCCAGGCAATGACCACTGCGCGAGCAATGACGGCCGAAGCTGTAATGTGACACCAAAGTGAACCCCCTGTGGTAAGCGCGGGTGTGCGACTGCGTTGGTGCTGAGAGCAGGCAGAAGAGGGATGGCTGTGCAACTGGAGAGATGCCGTATTCTTGTCTCTGCAGCAGTTTTCTTTACTTTACACTAAATAAACGTCATTTTGTTAAAGTAAACAATGTTTCTCTGCCAGTCTTTTCACTCGTGTCTCCCGAATCATCATCGTTTTGCACCTAACACGTATGTTGTGTTGTTAACTCTTTCAAGAAAAATGACTTTACTCGTTTAAAAGCACTCACAACTTGTGTTTGAAGGTGCTATATCAGAAGGAGCCATAGAGAACACTGATTACCAGAGATATTAGTACTATAGAGCATGGACATACTAATGGTCGAAAAAGATGATTCTATGCCAACGGATTCATGAGTCGGCTCACTCTGGCTCACTTTGACTCAGATTGAAACGTGAGTCTAAGTGTGTCTGAATGAGTAATGTTTTTGGGAGTTTGAGTCTGAGTGAGTCCGTTTAAAGAAAATTTTCGTGAGTGTGAATCGGAGTGAGTGCGGCTCAGAAAATTTTAGATGACTTTGAGTTCGTGCGAGTCATAAACGCAAAATATGTTTCGTGAGTTAGTCTGTATGAGCTCCACAAGTTTTGCTGGCCTATGCTACCAGGCCACCGTTTGTGCACAAATCGCCGTTGATAGCACTTGAGGGGCCTGTAATTAGTTTTGTCGCATACTGCAGCAAATGATGTGTTGTGTTATGACTAACAGGCATCCAGCAACATATTGCAGCAGAAAAACGGGAAGCCAAAGTTTGTGTCAGTACCCCTTTAAGCCACTCACCTCGTCCTCACGCCCCTCCCCCCCCCCAAAAAAAACCCGGTTCACCCACCGAACCAGTCGGTTGTACTTTGTCATCTGGTCTGTCGTGCAAAGCCATGGTTATTTCCTAACCGTGTGAGTAGCATGGAGTCTCGTATGCACCTCGATGGCATATTGGGGGGGGGGGGGGAATCATGAAAGTGGGGTGTCACCGCAGAAGCCAACGTTTTGACCAGCAGACTTATCTTCTTCAAGGCTGCCTTGAAGAAGAGGCTATCTCGTCTTCATTCTTTGATTGACCACTGACCCCGTCATTTTCATAGCAGTTTACTTTGTACCAGTCTTATTTCTTTAGGACTTTTGCTAACTATTTGGAAAACCAAGAATAGTAAGTGCTCCATCCAAATTCCTTAAAAGTTGCTATGCCTAGCGCGCAGGCCTGTTGTTTTTTGGCTTCCCCAAGGCAGCGACAGGCTTTGTCTGACATTGTTGTGTTTCCCAAAGCGCAACAAGTTGCCTAAGATAGATTTACCGGCATAAAACAACAAAACATCTAAGGAGAAACAGACACACACAGCACTGAACTCACAATTGATTATTACTTCCAACGCAAGGCCTTTTTGCATGGCACGCATTAAATCGGCACTTTTTGGTGCTAGTAAGTCTATCTTAATCATGAATCGACTCGCCCAAGCAGAAGTTTTTACAAGTTGCTGCCTTGAAAGAGACAGGAACATAGCTAACAGCTTATCAGCTAATGGTTAAGAAACTGAACAGTGTGTGAACCAGCTTTTTTTCGCATTGATTCCAGGTTCCAACAATGTGTGGTACGAGTGATAGAACTTGTCACCTCACTGATATCACGATTTTATCCACCTTTTGCTTCACTACAGGATATTTTTTTTCTACTTCAGCATTGCACTTTACGCAACCATAGGAAAAGTGCTGACATTGCACTGGTTGCCTGCGCTCGCTTTGCAGGTATGTGCCTGTGAACACTTGGAGTCAAGTCCCCTGCTCTTCTCAGCGCCTCAATGCGTAGGCTACATGCGAGAGCGAGGCCCATTGCCCCCACTAGCCTGCCTTCCCACACTCAAAGTTGTCACACAGCAGGTACGAGTGCTTTATTGAGCATCACTCTAAGACCTCTTGTGGAGGTCCCCCATGTCCTGCTCCATAACGTGTACATTTCTCATCCTAATGTGTACTTTTCAAGTTAGTGCATTTTAACACTTCACGATATGCTGCCAGAGGTTTTCAGACTTACCAGTTGCAGGCTGCTTTTTGAGGCCAAAAATTGCTAAGAAAGTATTGATTTCGGGTGGAGAAGAGGGGAATGTTATGCTTGGATTATGCCAATATTTATGTGTAACCTTACCGGTTTTCATGCATCCTGGACTTGCAGATCTAAAGCTTCGGGAAAAAAATTCTCGTTTTTGTCTTTTTCAAACGATCGTATACCATAATAATTCCCTTACACAAAAACTCACCTCAGCACCTTCATATGTATCATCGCATCTTGATCGTAAGTATAAAGTTTTCGTTCCTTTTTGCCGCAATAATGCTTTTCTGAGTCCTTTTTACCAAAAACAAGCACTGAGTGGAACCGCCTTTCCCCCTCCTTTGCCTGCATTGGGACGCTTCATCATGCAAGGCTGCACTAACCGACTTTGTCTTCAGTAGGCTTGTGCAAATAGTAAGTGTTAGGTTCGAAACGAATAGTGATTTTTGTCGCATAATTTTAATATAATTCGAATAGACTATGTGATGTATAAATAAAAGTGGG